TTTTAAAAAAGGAGAGAAAGAACTGGGAGCCGGGAGTCCATTCTAGAAGGACCAAATCTACCCTCAGTATCAGGAGACTAGATGGAGGACGTGTCCGCACGCTGGCCGGGCTGGGAGGGAGGGCAGGTCTCCCGCCTGTGGTTCCAGGTAACGCTGGCCTCCAACCAGCGACACGCCACCCGCTCACACAGACTCCTGGCTCACAGGATTTCGTTTCACAAAGCTATCAGAGATGTAAATGCACTTTCATGAGCAAAAGCGCTGTGAATTATTTACTTTGATTTAAGAAAAAGCAGAGATGCCCTAAATATCAACAAAGGTTGACTAAGTAAATGGTCTCTCCTTAGGCTGCAATTCTACACAATAATTAAAGAATCATAATTTTGAGGGACATTTAATCATATAAGGAAATGTTTATGAAGATATAATGGCAAGTAAAAATAACAACTGCTTATACATCACCCCATCAATTTTATTAAAAAATGTGTATATGCACACACTTAAGAAAGTGGAAGGACTGAAATGTTAACAGTAAGTTGTTTGTGGGGTGGTCGGATTACACATGGATGCTTTTGCTTGTCTTCCTTGTGCATTCTTGCGTTTTTCCACATTCTCTACAGTACACTATCTTTATAATCAGAAAGGCATATTGAAAGAAGACCTAGAGCGAGTGGAAGCCATGGGGCGTCGTCACTGGAGGTCCTTGTCCCTGCGTATTCATGAGAGCCATTCTTTGGGCATGACCTGGAGCCTGGCATGGGCTGCGTGGCTGCCGGAAAGCACAAGTGGGGAGACCAAACCCCCAAAGCCCAGGCTCCCCACCCAGAGGTGCCCTGCAAGGCAACACCACCGGGAGGCCGGCACCAGCTCTGAGCTCCCACCACACCCCTGAACCAGGAGAGCCCGGAAAACACCAGAACCCAAGCAGGACAGTGGTCTCAGGCTGACCACAGATATTTGTGAGTCACTCCCCAGAACTCCAGACAAAATTGCTCACAAACACCGCACTAAGTCCACGGCTGGCGGTGGAACGAACTGTCCTGATCCCGCCAGCTCCCCAACTCCAGGGTTGCCTCCATCGCACACTGAGGGTGCCTGTACATGCTGCAGGCCTGGCGGTGCGGACAGACGAAGACAGGACCGTGTGAGACAGACTTCATCCTGAGGCGAGGCAGGCTCTGGGACGCCCCAGGGAGAACGGCCACAGGCAGAGGCGGCTGCTCTGTGCAGGGTCACTCAACAGGTCACTCAGGGCCTCCTCCCCAAAGGCCCAAGCTCATGCGCTGGCCCCGCCTGTGTGTGCCTCTCCACTCCATTCCTCCAGGACCACCATGGCCACCCCTCAGGCCACCCACCTTGTCCCTGCCCTGTCTTCCCCCTTTGATAACCTCTCACAGTGCAGACACTGCCAACCCCCGCCGCCCCCTCCCATTTTGGACTTGTCTTCACTAGTCGCAAGGCAGACGGTGAGGAAAGGACACAAGCGGAGCTCGCAGCACCCTCCCACAGGGGCTGGGCCGTCTCTCAGCTCTCCAGCAGGGAGACTGCCTACGGGGCAAAGAGGCCAGAATCGGGCATCTCTGACGAGGGGTCAGAGATGGAGACCGAGGCACGGGGGCACAGAGACGGCAATGTTTGGCCAAGTCTGGACGTACTGCCAGCTGCTAACCAGGGATGCACGGGGGACCCTCTCCTGGCAGGGAGCTGTGTGCAAATAGGGGGCCCTGAAACTGCACGATGGATGGGGCGCACGGCCTCGGACCCTGGAGTGAGGGCGCAAGGTGAGAGGTACAACGATGGCGGATGCAGACCCTGAGGTGCACGCACCATGCTAAGGCAAGTGGCTCAGCAGGAGGCAGCAGACTCTGCCCATGGCGGGAAGGGGCCAGCAGCAGGGCACAGCTCACCTGCAGGTGGCTGGGGGGCCAGGGCCCGGCATCGGCCACAGAACACAGAGAAAGGACCAGAGTCTGACGGAGGTGGCCTGATGGAGAGAGAAGGGGTCTCGAGGCAGGAGGGTGCTTGAGAGCAGAGCATAAACTGATCTGTAGGTCTCGTCAATGTGAGGCCAGCCAGGCAGTGGTGGAGGTGACCTGAGCATCAGAGATGTCTGGGGGTGTCGGAGATGGACCCGGGATCTGGGGGACCCTGAGCACATGGGGGAGACCCATAGGAGATGAGGACGAAGCCCAGGGACATCAGGGCTCCATACTCCCCAGGGACGTGGGAGGACACCGGTGGTGAGGAATCCAGTGGCAACTCCAGAGGCAGGTGTGAAAGGAGAGAGGGAAGGCCCTGCAGCCCAGAGGCGGTGCAGGATGAGGGGATGGGGCAGGCAGGGCTCCTGCAGGTTCCTGGGGCACCATGGTCAGGAGGGGGCTGCTGGCGGCCAGAGAAGGTGGCCAGTGAGCCCAGGTGTGTGATTCCTCCTGAACCTAAGGAGCCGCTGTAGAGGGACTGCTGGTGCTCTGAGGTCTGAGTGGGGATGGTCCCTGGGCCCACACGGCTCGAGGTTGCTCCTCCCCGCGAGTGAGACATGACACTAACTGTGTGGGCTCCTCAAGTGCAGTCGGAATCCAGGAGTCACAGGTTTCTCTCCCAAGTCAGCTCGTCTGCCCAGGACACTGTCTGGGCTCCTAGGTCTTCTTCAGCCGGCCCCTGGGCAATGACCAGGAATGACCCCGCTCCCTCCCTCTCCCTACCCGCTCCTCTCTCTGCAGAGCCCTGGGGGACATCAGTCCCTGCCTCCCACCCCAAAACAGCTCTGCATGGTCCCGCCTTCATCTAAAACTTTGATTTTTTGTTCACTGTGGATTCTTTCAGATTAAATTTGATTGTTAAAAACATTGCATCAAGTATCATTTATCCTGATACTTAGTTTGGGGCACACACTTAAATTGCGAGCCCAAAGTGGGCACCTCGCTCTGCCCCCCAGCCCCAGCGCATTGATTTGAGTCTGGGGGCGGGCACAGCGGGAAGAAGAGAGCAAATAAATGAGTTTCTGCTGGGCAACACAGCAAACAAGAGGGCCTGCAAACTCCCCCGTTACAAATTTTGGATAAATGTACTAACACACACACCTCAAAACACACAAGTGAGCTGGCCAGAAAGTGAGGAAAATGACCAGACGCCAGAAACATCAGGAAGGTGGGAATCCAGGCCGGGAAGCTGATGTGCGGCTGCCCCGGGCCGCTGCAGTCTGAGGAGACCCAGTTTCTAAAGCGCTTTGTCTCCATGGGGCAATCCCAGGAAACCAGGGCCAGCGAGGTGGGCAGTGAGCTGCAAGCCCTCGACTGAGGCCCCAGGTCCCGAGAGGCTCCATCAGCAAACATCGAGCTGGGAAGACCGTGCAGTGGGGGACGGTGAAGAAGCTGACCTGCCTGCAACCCAGCTCTGCACCAAGGGCCCAGGGAATGCGTGTGGAGACACCTGCCGCCTGGGGCCAGCGTTCACACTACCTGGAACATCTAAAAGCCACGAGCCAAGCATTTAGTGTAAATCCCCATGGGTGCCATTCTTCTCAATGGAATTTACCATCCATAGAGCTCTTCAGGAATTTCCAGATGAAGTTCTCACAAATACGAGCTCACATCCAAAACCACAAAACATCCTGGAGGCAATAAGCCACCAAGAGTGAGAGTCAGCAGAATTTTGCTTCTTCCTGAAAAGCCTCTAAAACTTCAGTGATGAAATTCCTTTTTTTTTTTTTTTTTTGTGAGGGAGATCAGCCCTGAGCTAACATCTGTGCTAATCCTCCTCTTTTTGCTGAGGAAGACCGGCTCTGAGCTAACATCTATTGCCAATATTCCTCCTTTTTTTCTTCCCCAAAGCCCCAATAGATAGTTGTATGTCGTAGTTGCACATCCTTCCAGCTGCTGCATGTGGTATGCGGCCTCAGCATGGCCAGAGAAGCGGCTCATCGGTGAGCGCCCAGGATCCGAACCCGGGCCACCAGCAGCAGAGTGCGCGCACCCAACCGCTAAGCCACCGGGCCAGCCCCTGAAATTCCTTTTAAAGGCACAAAACCCACAAAGGCAGAGAAAACAAGAGTGGAGAAGACAGCAAGGCAGACTCAGGACACAGGAAATTGGTCACTGACAGAGGCGACCCAAGAACGCTGGTGGTGGAGAAAGCGAGAATGTTCAGGAGGGGCAGTCGTGGGTGGCAGCAGGAACAGAGGGCCAAGGACATGACACCATGGGGAGGACACTCAAAGCTGCTTAGGAAGTGGTGAAGCGCCAGACTTCACCCCAGGCTCCCAGGACACAGCCCTCCTGCCCCAGAGGACTGGAGGTCTTCCCTGGATGGGATTGGGGTCTCTGGCCCAGGATTACAGACACAAGGCCTGTGTGACTGAAGAGATGCTGCGGACCCTCCCATAGTGCTCCCCTCACTCATCTCCACACGTTCACCCAGGCCCCCGCATGACCCCAGCAGAAGACCAGAAGATTTGAAGGTGACTCTAACCAACCCAAAAAGGTCAAAAATCCCGCACCCAGGCCACCCTGCAGGAACACCCACAGAGGAAGCCTCAGTCAAGTGCTGGTGGCTGTGCTCCATCAACTAGAGGGACTCAACCAAGCAGCAGGGGCCGCTGATACGAGAGACACGAGGCCGGAGATGCTCCAGCTCCCCACACTCCCCAGCTCCCCACGGAGGGGAAGGGCAAGCCTGGGGTGAAGATATGCCCAAGGCTGCAGGCAGGCTGGACAGAGGCAGGCCTGAGGCTGCAGAACACCCGAGCGCGTGAATCTCCTGAGGGCAGACTCAGACAACGCCAGGGGAATCTTAGTGTGAACTGACCAACAAATACAGCAATGCCAAGTGACCAAAAAAATGCAAGATGATAAAAGGATTTTTGAAGGAAAGCAAAGCAGCCCAGCTCAGAACAGCATTTACAAGATTACGACAGGTGAGGGGTGAGGGCTGATGTCGCCAAACCGAAACAGGACTGCATTCAGAGGGCGGACGGGACTCAGAGTCGCAAGCGGCCGTCCTACCTTGTCGTCATCCTCGCAGGTCATGACGTTGGAGAAGGGGATCTCGGCCTTGAACATCTTCCGGCAGTGCATGAGCTGCACCAGCAGGTAGCACACGGTCTTGAACTTCATCCTCTTGGCCGGCTTTATGTCTGAGAGAATCAGCCCTGGAAATATCTGTGCAGACACGCGGCAAAGAGAAAGGCTGTGAGTGGCACATCCTGCCTCTCGGGCGGGGAGCATGAATGTGACAGGGACAGGGAGGTCACAAGCCCGTTTGCTCAAGGCCTACTACGCGCCAGGCGTTGGGGATGTGCTGGGAGTCAGCAGTGAACAGAACTGGCAACCTGGTTCCAAAACGCTCGGCTCTCAACTGCACCCACCACCTCTGAACCAGAGCGAGGCACTCGATTCCTGGGGCGCAGCAGAGGGAAGGTTTAGGGGCCAGGTCGGGGAGAGATCCCGGGGCCCTGAATGTTACCTGGCTGGGTCAGTGCTTGGCTGTTGAATATCACCCACTGGCACCCAGGAGACCCTCCTGCAGACCTCTCACCTCTGTCTTCAGTGGCTCCTACAAATACACTCAAATCTCCTCGACTCCTTAAAACCCTGAGATGCCCCTGCTGCCTTTTGCCTTTTTCTCTCCCTCTCATCCCAACTTTCTCCAAGGGGGCTGCTTGGTGTACCCACCTCCTCACTCTCGCTTGCCCTCTAACTGTGACCACGCCTGATGCCATTGTTTGAGTCTGCATGCAGACCAGGCCACATCCACGCAGGGCACAGAGGCTGGTTCCCCTGGATCAGATCCTCCTGGGTCCCTGCAGCTGGCAGGCCTCCCTCCTCAGGCCCTGCCCTGTGCTCCCATGTTCCTCACCTCTCACCTGGCCCTCCCCCACGCCATGCCGACACCTGCACTTCTCCCGCACACTCACCCCCCTTCTTCGGGAGTCAGCTCACCATGCCCAGCCTGAGCCACTCCCACCTACGTCACCCAAAGCACAAGGAGATTGCCGTACCCCAGGGCCTGGAGAGCCTGGGCCAATGGACACACCAGGACAGTGAACCTCAGAGCTCTCCCTCATATCCGACCTGCTTGTGTCCTGAAGGAGTACTGGGGCCAGCTGGGTCTCTGCCCCTCACCTGAGCCCCGCACCCCTCACCTGAGCCCCGCGCCCCTCACCTGTGCCCTGCACCCCTCACCTGAGCTCTGCGTCCCTCACCTGAGCCCTGCACCCCTCACCTGTGCCCTGCGCCCCTCACCTGAGCCCTGTGCCCCTCACTTGTGCCCTGTGCCCCTCACCTGAGCCCTGTGCCCATCTGAGCCCTGTACCCCTCACCTGAGTCCTGTGCCCATCTGAGCCCTGCGCCCCTCACCTGAGACCTGTGCCCCTCACCTGTGTCCTGTGCCCCTACCTGTGCCCTGTGGCCATCTGAGCCCTGCGCTCCTCACCTGAGACTTGTGCCCCTCACCTGTGTCCTGCACCCCTCACCTGAGCCCTGTGGCCATCTGAGCCCTCCACCCCTCACCAGTACCCCGCACCCCTCACCTGAGCCCTTCACCCTTCACCTGTGCTCTGCGCCCCTCACCTGCGCCCCAGAAGCAGCTCGGTCATCCTCGATCATGTCCAGATCATCTTTCCTGGGCAGAGTGACCTCGAGTGCCCTACATACGATGGTCACAGCCCTCTTGTGTGCACAACACCCCTCAGTCCATCCACAGCACACCCCTATCCCCAACCCCTGCAATGGAGGCAGTGAAGGCCTGGGAGGTGCCGGAGGACGCAGGATGGCCCTGCCGCTGAGGACCCCAGGGCTCAGACTCTGAGTTCCAGGCCCCTCCCCTTGCCAACTGCCTTTCCTGACATGCACAAAAGGCCAGGCCCAGGGCAGAGGGTAATGGGGACACCCTCCCCTGCGCAGACCTCGAGGCCTGGAGAAGCAGTGATCTGAGGAGGGGGCAGGACCATTAGTCTTTGAGAAGGCTCTACATAGGGCGGGCCTGGTACCTACCTTCCGCCGATGCGATGGCACAATAAAAAAGGTCTCGATGTTGTGAGTTTTCAGAAAACTGTTCCTCTCGTGTCCATGACCTGGCTCCACCTCGTAGTCACCATTCAAGCACGCCAGGGTTGTCTTCGTGATATGAACCTTCCTGCACAAGAGGAGGCAGAGGTTTGGAACGGAGCAGTGATCGACCGCTGCTGCTCAGAGTCAAGGCGGGCCCGCCTGTGAGGCCTGAGGCCCGAGGCCCTGTGGGGTCATGGCAAATGCGTCCCATCGCCATCGCAAGCTCCAAGAGGAACATCCAGGTTCCCTGTGTCATATGCACAGTCACCAGGAAAGAAGAGGGTGGGGCAGAGGCAGGGGAGGGACCCCAGCAGAGAGGGGAAGTGTGTAAAGGGGGGCTGAGAGCAGGGATAGGGTGTAGGGGGTTTACGGCCAGAGGCGAGGGAGAAACCAGGGCCCCTTCCCAAACAGTCTTAGGGTGGGCAGGGCAGGTGGGAACAGCACCACGGGAGTGGAGGGGTAGGCGCAGTGCTCACGCTCGCCCAAGTGAGTTTCTTGGTGAGAGGAAGAGGAGCCCTCAGTGCAAGCTGAGCAGAAAAGGCAAGACTGAAAATGCACAGCAGCCCCTCCCCAACCCAGACACAGCCTGAGCTTCCGCTCCCGACAAAGCCCTGAGCACTCGCGTCTTCGGGCACAAAGCAAATGGCCCAGCAAGCAAACCCTCCCCTGAAGCCCGGAGTCCTCACAGTACCGCACAAGTTCCTAGATTCCTTGCAGGCAACACAGGGCATCTATGCAAGAGTGAGCGTCCCCCCACTGCTGGCCCCAGAACACCCAGGACAGTCACCCGCCAGCCTGGTCCTGAACTGCAAAGGGATGCCTGGGCACCAACAATCCCTAGAAATGCATGCGCACCCACTCACGCATTCACTGGTCCTTCATTCACTCATTCATTCAATAATGGAGACAGACAATGCAGCCCTGTCGCTGAGCTGAGGGGCCAGCGGGGAGAAACAAATGTTATCAACTGCTCTCAGCGCAGAGCGTTCCCAGCTCTGGAACAGAGAAGGGTCTCCGTGCAGGTGCCCTAGAAGCACATGGTAGGATGGACGACACGCAGGGTCCTAGCCAGGGTGTGGGCTGTGGGAGAAATCAGAGGCCTGGAGGCCCTGAGCGGCAAGGCCACTAAGGGAGACAGAGCCGCCTTCACTAGCAAGTGCACCTGTCACTCACGCTGGACGATCGCTCGCCTGACATCACGAAGGAGCCACGTGAGCTCCTTCCCTGGAGATGCAGAATGGGGGTCCCCAATGTCCGGCATCTCTAAGGCCTGCGGGACCAGAGGCCCAGTCATGCATGAGACTGTCCTAAGATGGCAGGGCCGAGGGAATGCGGGGCCCAGGGCAGGTGGTCCCTGCCACATCCTGGAGCTGAGTGAGAGATGCAGATGACTCAACTGTGGTTCCCCTGGGGCTCTGGGGCAAGGGGCAGTGTGCTCAGGACCCAATGTTGCTTGCTTCGAGGCAGCCTGGAACATGCACCCAGAACATCAATTTTGGGAAGAGATGACACCACTAGGCAGAATTTTTTAAAGGATCATTTCTAGACCAGGAGCTGTGTGTGCTCCAAGGCAACAGAGCAGTCTATGTGTGGCCTCCCGCCAGCCATGAAGCTGGAGATCACCAGTGCAAGGAGCAGACAGGTGTTCCACCCCTCCCTGACCTTGGCCTCTCCAAGGCAACCACTCAGGGCATACAGCCTTGGGAAGGAGCCCAGGAACCAAGCCGTAGGGGTCCCGGCATGAAATGTTGGGGGAAAGACATTCAATGATTCATTCCTCCCATCCATCCATCCATCCATCCATCCATCCATCCATCCATCCGTGCATCCTCCCATCCATCCATCTGTCCATCTGTCCATTCATTTGTCTGTCTGGCCACACTCTCTGAATGCCCAGTGAGTAGAAGGTAAATGTCTGCTGAATGGATGGATGAGTGGATGGATGGATGGATGAAGAAAGCAAAAGAAGGAATCAAATTACGAATAATACAAGAAAGATGGGACCTAAAGAGAGGAAATGCAGCGACGCCCCAGGGTGAGAACCATCTCCAGGAGCCCAGGAGTCTCAGGAGGTTACCGAGAAAGCCCCATCACCCTCCCACAGACAGGGCAGGACCCCGAGGGGTGCACACACCACACCACAGGCACCAGGCCCCGAGAGGCACTGGGTAGGGCTGGCCGGCAGCTCCTGGTCCCCACTCACCAAGCAGCTTTCTTTTCTGGGGACCCCTCCCCGGCCCGGCCTCCTCCCGTTCCTGACTCTTCCCTGCCCTCCTCTGCAGAAAGCCCCTGGAGAGAGCTGCAACACTCTGCCCCCTGGGCAGCCACACCTCTGCCCTCCCTGTGCCCTGAACCTTCTGCTGAGGCCTCCATTGGCTGCATGTGCCCTGATCCGGTGTCCAGTCCTCCTCTTGCTCAACGAGTAGCAGCTCTGGACACAGCCCGCCCCCTCCTCCTCTCAGCACACTCCACCTGGCTGCCGGAACAGCCCCCCTCACTCTTCTTTCTGCCTCCCTGCTCCCCTTCTTTTAGGAACTCGGAGTTGGGGGCCAGGCATGGGCTTTCATCACCTTCTCTCCTTCTTGTGGGTTGGCATCAAGTCTTGGGATTTCAGTGTCCCCAAGTGCCTGTGACCCCCAGACTCAACCTCCAGCTGAGACCCCTGCCTAGCCCCTAATCGACCTCTCACCCCAGCGCCAGGGGAGACCCGGAGTGACAGGAGAAAATGAACCCCTGTCCCTGTCTTCCAAGTTCCGCATGGTGCTCGCCGTGGTCCCCCAAGAACAAGAACTCCACAGGGGCCTGGGGCTCTGTCTGCTCCCCATCGATGTGCACACATCAGGCGCTCTGCAAACATTATGCTATAGGTTGGCCGTATTTCTTTGGGAGGAGATATCTCAGAGAGGGGGAGTGGAGGAGGGGAGGGGGGAAGGAAGGAGTAGGAGAGAGGGGCAGGGAGGATGAGGCCCCTCTTCAAGTTGCCCACCAGCACTGTGTCTGACCCGTGGAGTAAGGAGAGGAAGGTGACAGGTCAGCAGGGAGTCGGGAGGAGGCTCTGGCCAGGTGCAGGAGCCCAGAGAAGGGCCCCTGACAGTGGCATTTGTGCTTGTTCTAAAACATAGAGCTGCCCAGGGCAGGTGTAATGTGTAGGACGGCAGTGGGCAGCTCACGCCACCATCTGGCCTGGCTAAGGGTCTGGACTTGGTGAGGGGACAGCAGGGGCTGCAGGAGGGCTGGAGGGAAGGGGGTGTGGGGGGAAGGTCGGTGGCAGTGAGGTCCACCCGGAGGGAGGTGCTCAGAGGCAGCCTGGGTCACAGAAGACAATGAGGGGGGTCTTTGAGCTTGCTTAGAAATGCCATGGCTTCGTCCTGTGGCCTGCTCAGCCATGGCTTTGAGGAAGGTTGCCAGCACACGTCTCTGCCCCCACCTCCCTCTCTTCATTCGTTGGTTTCTAAGTTCCGTGCTTGCTATTTCCGCGTGCCCTGTAAATCTTCCTGTTGTGTGATTTCGCAGCCGCTCCCCCGAGCGAGCAGCCTGTGGAAGACCGGCGGCCCATGCCACACGCAGGGCCTCAGTACAGGGAAAGCTGCCACCTGCTCCAACCACCTCCCTGGGGTGGGCCAGGAGGGAGGGGAAGACGCGGCCCGGAGGACGCCAGGCCTCCAGGGTGAGAGCGGGATCCTGAGGGGCAGGAGAGGGCAGGCAGCAGCGAGGGTCAGAGGTTCGCCCTGAGGTCCACACAGCGCGTGCAGAAGCAGACACAGCTGTGCGGGCCTATAAGGCTCAACTCCAGCTCTGGGAACCACAGCCGGTCCTTGCAGGCATGTGCGCCAAGCCCTCCATAGGAGGATCACGGGACGGCGGGATCACGTCGCTCTCCTGCCACCCACCGCTAGGGGAGGAGGGGAAAACTCCCATCCATTCTCCAGTTAGTTTTTTATAGACTATTGCGCCTTCGCTTTGTGGAAGGGTTTGAAGAAAAATGAGACCAGAGGAGGAGACTGTAATTGGAAGGCATTTGAAGTGCAAGAACCAATGGAAACGCATCCCCTTTCTAGAAGGAACTCTGTAACTTCCCTAGTGGGGCTCTAAAGCCACAGCACTGTGCATGTGTAAGTCTGAGAAAATGAAAAGAAAGAAAGCAAAATGAGACGCCACAGTCAGCACTTAGGACGGCCTGAGCCCCCGGCCGACGTCCGCTGCATTCGGTCTTCAGTTCAGTGCCGGCTTTCTTTAGGGTGCACAGAGGCTCAGAGCTGGGAGGGGCTAGGCACCAGAGCCAGCCAAGCACAAATCCCTCCCATGCTGGCAGCGGGCTGAGATAGGATGGGCCTCCCCCTCATTGGGGTCCCCACGTGGAGGGTCAAATGGAATCCCACGCACCTACCCTCAGTGCCCAGGATGGGGTCCCCACCTCGCCCCGACTTACCCCGGCAGGCCGGCGGCCTCCATGACATTGGCCAGGGTCACATCGTTGGACCACACGTCATACTGCCACTTGCGCAGGCCCAGGACCCCGCAGAGGACCCTGCCAGTGTGCAGCCCCACACGCATGTTCAGGTCCACCTCAGTGGCCTCGGCCACAGACCTGCAACACACAGGCACATAGTGTGGGCCGGGGCCCCGTTGTCCACTCCCACAAAGCCATGAGTGCCGGGGGAGCCGGGCCCTGCACCGTCCCTGCTGCAGGGTCTTTCGAGGTGCCAAAATGAGCAGGAGTTGGGGGTCTCCTGACCTAGTCAGCCTGACCCCCAAGCTGTGGCCCCAGGTGGGCAGGGGCCGCTCCAGGCCAGGTCCTCCAGCTCCCCAGCCATTGGGCATCTCACACAGTGGTGAACCTCCCCTCACTCCCTCCCCACCTAGGGCAGCCGCCAAAGGGAAATGAGCCTGGGATCCCAAACCCAGGACCCCCATCCTGCTCTGTGTCCCACTGACCCAGTCAGGACAGCTCATGCAGGCTTGGTGGCCAGAGGCCAGCGTGATTACCCACCAGGAACACCTGACAGTCTCCACAGCCTAGAAGCCCTGGGAACAGTCAGGGTTTGACCCCAAGCTCCATGACTGGGAGAATGGGCTCCACACCTGGCCTGCGGGAGGCCTGTGGCCTGGCCCGAACAACGGGCAGGCTTTATGGGATGTAAATTATGCTTCAGTCAACTCGTGGGAAAAAATAAGACAAAACGTGTGGACACTGAAATCAGACTAAGGGCCCAGGTGCACACACTCCACCTTCCCTGCCCGTGAGTCCCTAAGTCGCTCGTGTCTCTAAGCTCCAGCCCCTGGCAGACAGCGTGAGTCCCTAAGGCTGCTGCAGGCCGGCCCTCGGAGGTGGTGGCAGCGTTGCCGGAAACGCTGAGCAATGCAATCCAGGGTGGCTTTAAATGCTCCTTGGATAAGGAGATTCCCTGCAGTCGTGTAGGTGGCGCACTCAGAAGTCCTCTCAGTGGCCCACGCAGGCGCCGTGCACAGTTTCTCCAACTCTATGATGCTCACACTAACGTCAATGCAGGAGGTGCATGATGCACCTGCGATGGCACGGTCAGAGCAGAAGGAACCCACGGTGGCCCCCGTACGTGGTGAGGCCCTCTGATGCTATTTTTCTGTATTTTCTACATTTCCCCAAAGGGCAGAAATTATTTTATTAAAAACAACTCTCAAGCCTGTTGTTGAGGAAGCAATATCAGGCCTGTTTGGTGTGCTCCAAGGGCCAGAAGCGTAGGGAGGCTGTGCAGGAGGGGAGAGGGGTCAGCCATAGCACCCTGGCCCTTCCCCAGGCTGGGCCTGACTAGGTGGCCCCGGTTGGCAAGTGTGTCAGACAGGCCTCCCTCCATCAGGGGCAAAGCTCCACCCCAAGAAGGGCCGGGAGGCTGAGCCAAGGCTCAGGGACATGGCAGCCCCGTGATTAGGCCATCCGTCGTGAGAGGGAAGGGAGACAACAGGTGCACAGGCCACACCACCCCAACCCTCAGGCTGCCCTGCAGAGACAACCCACCGTCAGCCCCCTCCCTGCAGCAGGCGCCCTGCGGCCCACCACATCTAGACCCCCACACCCAATACAGCAGGCACTCCGAGCCTATGAGCTCACGGCAAAATCTCACTCCTGCTCCAAGACTTGGGGTTGATTCATGTGCCCCCACCTTGTTCCAAATACGATGTAGGCCCAGCCCCAGTGCTGCCTCCTGGAAGCTCTCCCAGATTCTTCACCACAGTAAATCCACTCACGCCCACCACAGCCCTTGTCACTCTGGTCCTGGCAGGACAGCTGGGTCAGAGTCCCCCAGAGGAGACTGCTCCGTGCCACGCCCTGACCGCTGGGCCAGTCTCCACATGGCCATGTGCCAGGCTGACCCACATTGACCAGAGACTTGGTGGTGTCCCAGGCTCCTTAAAAAATCTTAATTAAAAAGAGTTAAGGAAGACAAGGGGCTTCACATCACAATGAAATAAGGAGATTTGGACTCTTTCATCTGGAACATAATGAATATGACAAGGACATGACTTAAGTCAACGACATCACAGAGGGCTGGGGAGAAGAATGGAAGAGAAAGAAAGTCCTAAAGCTGGGGCTTGGCAAGCCTCAGACAGGTCAAAGAGACCATTCTGTCCAGCAGGAGAGATGACAGAGCCAGGATTCCCACAAGAAGGGCAAGGCCGAAAGAGCCTATAATAGATCCCACGATTCTGAAAACTATCCGGTGATAACTTGATAGTGGGTTAATGATGCACAACACGTTTATGGTGATCCTGATTTAGCCATCACTATAACCGGGGCGACAGCGTTAGAAAAGGGACCACTTGTACCCGAGCACACCACGGGCCGGGCCCCACAAGCTCCAGCCCCCTGACCCTCCCTAACACACACTGGGCTGCAGGTCTCAGTGCGAATGTCTGGTCCTCGGATCAAGGATTGGAGGCAGCGGCTAGGAGAAGGATGGGGTAGGGGACAATGAGCAGGGACGGAGGACAGAGCATCGGGAGGAGCCCAGCAGAGGCGGAGCAACCACTGAGAGAAATGAGGGTTTCTGAGGAAGTCCCATCCAGCCTGGCGACTTGGACCACGATGACCTCTGCCCTCTCCAAGCCTCAGTTTCCCTATATGTCATCCTGGGTAGGGCTGAATGAGCCCTGACAAACTCTGGAAGAGTTCAAACCCTACCCTGGTGCACCTCGATGCTCAAGGGAGCCAGCCAACATCCTGCTCTTTCCACCAGGTGTGAAACACCAACCGAGGCTCCACGAGGAAACAGACAGGAGAGCCAACTGCGTCAAACCTGCTCAGCCCCCACTGCCCTCCACCTCGCTCCACACCCCTTCCAGGAGCCTCGTCACTGAGCCCTCCGGATGCCCCATTTGTCAGTAATAGCACGAGATGTGTGAGGCTCGCTGGACCCACCCGCCTGCGAGGATGGCGTCTGCCTTCTGCCCAGCTTGGCTTCACCACAACTTTCATTTGCAGACTGCCCGTCCGGTTCCTGCCGGGGCTTCCCGCCAGCCAAGCCACCCCCATGCCCTCAAGCGGCTCCACTCAAACCCCTCCTGGCCCGTCCTCTAAACAGGAGCAGCTCTGCCCATCACTGTCCACTTCAGCCACGGGAGGGCCTGTCCCCCAAAACCACAGCACACGAGGGCCCCGCAAACATGCCGAGACACTGCCTCCCCACCAAGCCTCACCGGCCTGAGTACAAGAGGCCAGAGCCTAGAATCAGACACATCCTAGGGTGTTTAGCTTTGCTAACCTCAGAAGTTCACGTGCCACAGATTTACAATAAAGGTTATCTGGAAGTTTGACTGTGGACATATCTTTAATACCTATTTAGTTTTATACATTTTGAATGTATTTTCTTTCAATTTTAACTTTTTTTCAGTCATTTGCCAATCTCCAGTTACACATACTGAAACAAGAAAACCAAAGTTAAAAAAAAATTTTTTTTTTTTCAAAATTCACAAAAGGAAATGAGTATGGGGAAATGCAAATAAGCAAACCTACAAATGGTGTTTGTGTGCATTTTCAGCATTCCTACTTCTGTAGTCATGAAAGGGCAAAGGGCTCGGGGCCTTCTGGGACCCATGTCCACCCTCCTCCAGCAGGCTGTCCGGTTCCCGGAGTGCAGCACCCCGGCCAGCCTCCAACCAAACCCTGAAGCCCAGAACATTCTCTGCCAATATGCTCCATCTGTCATCTCTTTCAGCACGTTCTGCCTCAAATATCTCAATTCTGGTACCTGTGGATGTGCAGTTAACTGGACAGGCCCTTCTAAATAAATCGTGCATCAAAACTGTTCTCACCGAGCAGCATTTGCCAAGAACAGAGAAAACGGGAGGGGGCTGGGCCTCCAGAACCATCAGAAATGACTCCTCTCACTCAACCATCCCTTCTCATTCGACCTCTAGGCTTGGGCCGCCCCAGCCTGCGTAGACTGGGGTCTACCAATGACCACAGCACACGGAGGGTCAGGGAAGGAAGAGCACATGCCATTTACTTCTCCTTAATTCAAGAGAGTAAACCAAAAACACCCAGGCCACCGGCAGAGCCACTTCTAGACCAAGTCTATTTAGCAAAATGGCGCCTCGCATGCTTAGTGGTCTAATTCAGGATTTGCTCAGGCCTGTGACAGACGAGGCCTTCCCCTGTGGAGCGGACAAAGTCCCGTTCCTCTAAGTGCACAGAATGCTGTCGCATCAGAGCCCCGAGGGGAGCGTGCAGAGCAGGGACCCGCTCGCTCCCTGCTGCGTCGGCTCCTTTTCCAGGGACTGATGAATCGATGCCCGCAGTGCCTGGGGACCCAGGGATTTCTGTGCCAGACCATTTAAGCTGAGATCCCATTTAATCCTCATGACGGCTCAGGCGTGCAAACTCCGTTCTCTTTTTACAGCAGAGAAAATCAGGGATTCGAGGACCTCAAGCAGCACCTCAAAGATGGGGAGCCAGGAATCCAGGGGCCGGCCTGCTTCCTCAGTAGAGGCCCCCGGCCGTTCAGGAACAAGTGATGTATCCACAGCTATTTGTGCAGCTCTGTACAGACAGCTCTGCAGGGGCAAAACCACGCCAGTCACCAAACTCGCTGGGCAGGCAGGGCACTTCCCCCTGTCTCCACTCCTCCCACAGGCAGGAGCCGTCTGGCCCAAACCGAGAACATGTATGACTTTATATAATTATTAAAAATCACACCAATAAATATTAGTGTGTGTTGATTTTTTAACAGAGCTTTCCGAATACCTTAATTAGGTCCACAGGTTTGAGAAAAGGGTCTGATTTGAGTGGTGAGGGCTGGGTCCAGACTCCCCAGGGCTGGCTGCAGGAGCCCAGGGCCTCAGGCCACCCAGGAGAGCCCCCAGCCTCGAGGCATTGAGACTCCCCCTAAGGGGTAAGAGCCCTGGGTCTCCACTTCCAAGTCAGCATTCTTTGCATTGTCTTTTATATGGAACACGTAAATGTTTCCACCCATTTTTCCCATAGGAATGAACTTCCTACCAAGTAGAAAACAAGATCACTCCTCACTTGCTTGACAAGGGAAAGGACCTCGACTCCTCAGCCTCAAGAAAGGTCAGATCCCAGTCTGGCTGCACACCTGCTCGCTCCTGCCCCTGCAGAGGTTTCTTTCTCGGTTTTTATGGTTACCTTACTCAGTTCCCCTCTGACCAGCGGCAGCAAACGCCCTGACCCTCATAAGTCCATCCTGTGTTGGGATGGACTGTGGTTTCATAAGCGAGGGATCTTGGTGGATGTGCTGCCAGTGAAGCATCAGCCTGAAGAGAGAGCTGACGACAGTGATCCAACGCCCCCCAATCCTGAGCACCCCCAGAACCACACACGTGGTCTGCACAAGATGCTTCAAGAATCTCATAACCAGCCCAAACCATCTCTTCTGCCTCTGGATTTCCTCTGTCTAATCAGAGGTCCCAACCCTAGAGCAGACGTCTCTGTGGCCCTGGCAAGGGAGAGCGCTGCACCACAGCTCCATCGCCTTGCTGGTCACCCACGGCACTGTGCCAGCCACCCAGGGCCACCTCAGGGCCTTTCCACAAAGGTCGGTGAACAGTCACCAGAATCCAGCCCCACAGGGATGGCCTGCTCCTGTGGAGAAGGGAGATGGAGGAGAAACAGGCTCGAGACAGAAGGCAGCTGAGACACAGACCTCGCTCCCCAGGCAGCACACACAGCCAGACACTCACTCTGGGCACGGCCCTCGTCCTCCTCAGTTCTTCTCCAGGAAGTCTCGTGTTTCCAAAGTTCCAAGTCAGAAACTCCACTCCAAGATAGGCGGAAAAGAAATACACAAATACTCACCTCTGTCTGGATGGGCCCTGCCTTCTGAGAAACAAAATTTGTTCTGCATGTGTTTCTGTGTGTAAGACGGGGACACCAGGCCCAGTGCAGCCAGCAAGGAGGGCCTATGGAACGCCAGGAGTGGCCTTCCCAGGAATCGGTCCCCTTTTGAAAGCCAGCCACACAGAACGCACACTGACGGTGCCCTGCTCTGTGGCAGTCAGAGGAGGGAAGGACGGCTTGGTTGGGAGGGAGGCCACGTTGGAGCTGTCTCTTTGGTGGCCTTCCTTCCTGTCCAGGGCCAGGAACTTGGCCCAGCAGATTTGTAGAGACAAAGACTAGGGGCCCCGAGGCCCTGGAATTCTCTGGGAATCAGGAGCTGAAGCAGAGAGCAGCCTTGGGAGGCCAAGCAAGACACTCACTCAGCCCTGGGCTGACCACCTCAGATAACAAGACTAGGAGACAAGGGTCTCAGGGCCTGGCAGGACCCCAGGGACCGGAAGCCAACAGCTGAAAGGCCAGGAGACACAGTCGAGGGGACCCTGTTTCTCGGAGCAGGGGAACCATGGAGCAGAGGAAGGCAGGTGGGTCAGTGAAGCTCCACACAACTCAGTGCCAGGTGCAAACCCAAAGGGCAGATGCAGGCCTCCAGGCAGGAGCAGGAAAGGGCACCCCACAGAAACATGTCCTAATCCATGAAAAGTGTGATCGAGCAAGACAGACATGAGAACAAAAGACAAGGCAGCACCAGGAAGGCCCAGAGCCCCAGGTGAGAAACGAGGCGTCGTAACTGCAGTGGGGCCTGGGCGGCGATGTCTGGGGGCCCGGCCAGGCAGGGAGGCTCAGGGGCTGATGAGCACCAGGTTCCTCCAGGAAGACCCCAACCAGCATCACCCACCTCCAGGGGCAGAAGGCCACCTGGTTCAACTCCATGAGCCACCTGCTGTAGCCTGGTCAGGCCTGTGTCAGGGACTCGGGCTCCTACATGCACCAGCCAACTCTTAACTGCCTCTGTGCCTGCACAGAGCAGGGGCTTTCACAAACACTAATGAATGAGGTGACATCTGTCTCCTTATAGCTGCCACCCATGGAACCTCACTTTACCCCAAGGAGATTACACAAAACAAGATGTGAGGTGACATATGATGTATACTATACTCAGTAATATGATATATGAAATGATGTATGATGTGATGTGATGATGTACCACATAATATGATGTGACGTGACATGATATAAGATGTGATATATATGATGTAAAGTGATATGACATGATATGATATACAATATGATGATAGACAATTGATGTGATGTTATATGTGATATACGATAAGATATATATGATGTGTGATACAGTATATTATATGACATATGATGTGATATATGATATGCTGTGTGAAATGATACAGCATATATATGACATATGATGTGATATAATATATGATATAATGATGATATATACTGTGATATATGACATGACCTGATGTGAAGTGATACAGCATACATGTGATAAATGATGTATTGTGCTATGATATGATATATGATGTGATATATGACATGATGTGATAGATGACATGATGTGATATATGACACCCTTTCAGAGAACAGAAGATGTCATTGAGTTTCTAAGTTGTCCCCAAGCCAGGCATCTTGCCTTCCTCCTTGATTCTGACCAGCCTCTCCTCCAGCCCACTTCATTACCTAGAGGAGAGGCTCTCATGTTTGGCTGCACATTGAAATCACCTGAGGGGCTTTACCACCCCCAATCCTAGACTACAGCCCAGACCAGCCACACAGGCTCTCAGGGCAGACCAGGTATTGGGGATTCGATTCTCCTGGGCGAGCCGACATGCAGCACACTGAAGAACCACTGCTCCGCAGGGCTCTGCTTCACTCACATCTCCCTGGGAAGTGGGGTACCAGGCTGAGTGTGCTGGCGAGGTGCTGCCTCCCTCCTCCTGAATGTCCTGTTTCTACACACAGTCTGCAGGTGCATGGTTTGCTGAGGTCCACCTCACACGGATGGCACAGTGAGCCTGCTGTTTACCCCTATATCTAAAGCCTTTTTGTTTGCATATTCTCTGTGCATTCTGTCGCCACATCTTCCTCATAGGATTCTTGTGCTGTTACTTCTCTGCTCTGGCATGTGGAAGTTTACCCCAGCCCATTAGCCCAATCTCCCTGGACCGTACCCATCTCTCCATGACGCTGAGGGGTCAGAATGTGGATCTATGCTCCGTCCATCACTCAATCTCCGAGCTCCACACCTTCCCTAACTAGATAGAGGCCCCTTAATTCCTCATCCCAGTCAGTGACAAGGACCGTGATGAGACAAGGCTGGCCAAGACAAGGGCAGGCCAGGCCCACTATGTTCCAGAATACTCACCTGCTCCACCCAACCCTCTCTCCACAGAGAGCACCTGAGACCTGGTCACCTGCCCACATGAAGACAGCATACACAGCTCCTTTTCATGTGAAATTGCTGGATTTGAGCCAAACTTTCCCCAGTCGATTCCCTGAATGTCTTATCTGGCTAAGCTATCAAGGTAATTTCCTTTTGCACGACTAATGCATATCTGACACTACCTGGGGTTACATGGATGAAGAAATGCAGTCCCAATAACATGCAAAGGAGAGATCACAGAGGCCCAGCTCCACAGAGCCAGTGGGACCTACTCCACCCAGCACCTCGCCACATGGCGTCAGTTCTCTGCAGCCATGGAACAGGTGGCCCACCTCGGACAGACTGGCCAGGACAATGCAGGCCTACAGGGGGCCCTTCTGGGATGAAAGGGGGTGAGTGTCCACGACTGATGTGGATGGGGTCCCACGGGCACTCACGTGATGGTGTCGATCATGTCCAGGCCCATCTCCACGCAGCAATGGGCATGGTCCGTCTTGGGCTGGGTGAGGCCGGACACACAGTAGTAACAGTCTCCGAGGATCTTGATGCGGCGGCAGTGGTTCTCCTTCAGGGAGAGAGGGAAAGCGCACGTTTGTGATGCACCTGGGGCCAGGCACCTGCACCTTCGCCACCACTGGATGCCGATGATCCAGGAGCATATCTCACGCCAGGGCCCCACACCCCAAGCCAGGGGCAGTCCCATGGTTGTGATTAGGGTCCTCCTGGGGCATCCATGCTTCCCCTACACTGCATGCAGTCCTGTTCCTGAGAGCAGATGTCCACTCCTCCCATCCCTCAGCTCACCTGGCCAACCCACGGAACCTTCAATGTAGGGAAGCTGCCCAAGCCTGGGGAGACAGGTCCTCTGCTAAGGAGGGGCTCCTCTCCCACAAGGGCTAGCACCAGGCCCCTCTTGACCACCATGGCAGATCACCACGTGACGGCCCTTCTGGAAAGTACTAGACTCCCACCCACACACACACTAGCCCCAGGAAGGGCCTGCCACACGCACCTGAGTGTCCCCACGCACGTGGTTTTAGCCCTGAGTCGAGGTTCAGAGGACCTGGGAGCGGCTGTCCCCAAAGAATCACCTGCCAGGGCCTGAGCTCTCAAGGGGACTGCCAGGGTCTCAGCCCTGACCTCCCCACCCACAGGGACACCTCGGAAGGCATCCAGCACCACAGAATGTCCACTCTCACATTTATACAACGGTCAGAATGTCAGCACCCACCTCGCCATCATTTGGGGAGATGGAGAGAGAAATGTCAGATGCTTACCACCACCTGTCATGTGCCAACCCACTCGTGTCACCTGTGATCATGACCGTGGCTGCAGTTTTTGTTTTGTTTTGTTTTGTGAGGAAGATCAGCCCTGAGCTAACATCCATGCCAATGTTCTTTTTGCTGAGGAAGACTGGCCCTGGGCTAACATCTGTGCCCATCTTTCTCCACTTTATATGGGACGCGGCCTGATAAGTGGTGCGTCGGTGCACACCCGGGATCCGAACCCGGGCTGCCAGCAGCGGAGCGCACGCACTTAACTGATACGCCACAGGGCCGGCCCCTGTGGCTGCGGTTTTATTCCAAGGAAAGCACTAAAACAGCAATTCTAGAACGTTTCAGTTTCAGCACCCCTTTACCCTCTTAAAATAATTGAGGACCTCACAAAAAACTCCCCTGTAAGTGGGTTATAGCTATGGATGTTTACCAATAAGAAGCTACAACTGAGAAATTCTTAAAAATGTATTAATGCATTCAAAGACAACAGTAACATATTTTATGAAAAATTATGACATTTTCCGACACAAAAGCAATTGGTGAGAAGTGTGGCATTGTTCTCACTTCTGCAGAGACAGCTGGATCCTCTGGTCTACCGTTCACTCGGTCGTGCTTCCTGTGTGTGCCACGTCTGTGAAGGGATCGGCCTCACGGCACGTCCTGGGATGAGGAGGACCTCACAGACCCCAAGACAGTCTCGTACAGCCCAGATTTCTGTGGACCCCACTCTGAGAACACACTCCATAACTTATATTTCATTCTGCCCTTTGGTTTCTTACAAATGAGCTGAATCCTGCCGTTGTATGGAATGCTACAAGTTAGTGCAAGTGCATTTGGGATGAGAGCTCTCGGCTCTCATTCCCCACGCGCTCACACGCGCTCCCGACTTCTGCACAAGGCTCTCTACAGGCCCAGGCCACTGCCCCGTGGCAGAGGGAAGGGTACCCTCCATGTGGACGGCTCGGGGCCCAGCTCTTCCCAGCCCTGGGCCTCCCTCAGCGTGGGGATGCCGGGACATGCAGGTGCAGCAAGTGCTTGCACCTGTCGGGAGGCCCCTCAGACAGCCCAGCAACCGGGCCTGTGCCACCCAGAGCCCCACAGGCTTCCCCCGTGGACAGGGAGCTGGCCACAGGCAGGCCCAGGGGCTGGCCACTCAGCCTCTGAACGACCAACGGCTTAACCGTTAGGACAGTGGCCTCCTTGTCTGTGGAAGGGGTTCTCTCGGTGTCCCTCAGGCGGGCTATGCTCGGTGTTGATCTGTCCTGTGACAGACTCTGGGAGCCTAGAGCCAGACGGCCGGGTCCAGGTGCCCACCCTACAGAGCTGAGGTCTGGGCCCCTGGAAAGCAGCCAGCTAGCTTCTCCAGGCCACACTCATACAAGCCTTCAGGCCAGCAGGCAGCACTGCGTTCTCTCCTGGCACCTCTAGAATGTCCATCCCCCCTGTCCCTATCATCACTGTCCTGTGGCTGGGGTGTCCTCCATCCCCAACACTCAGAAGCAGGTCAGGACACTCCGTGCAGGCCAGGAGGGCAGCTCCTCCCCCATCCTCTCCCTTTCTTCACACTCGGGCCACCTTCACCAGACCCGCAGGCCCAGGGACAAGACAAGAGACCACTACCAGGCGTCGACCTCTCCCTCCTATCTCCTGCCCAAGCACAGAGACCCTGTGCAAACTCCTGACCTATGATGGCCCGCCTCCTCAGGCCCTCCTCTCAGTGGTCCATCTGAAGGTTCCAGACCTCTCCCTCCAGGGAGCGCATGGAAGCGACAGCACCTACTGGCACGTGGGCGCTATTCTTGCAGACAATTTCGGGAGGGTCACCAAGCCCAATTCTGGGGACCTCAAAGGTGACGTGTGTCCTCATGCATCAGCATCGCCTTGGGGCATGAGCGTGGGTGACTGCAGGCGTCCCTGTGCCCCCCAGCTGGCTCTGCGGTGTTCCTGGCTGTCTCCAAGACTCATGACCTCATGGCCTCCTGTTCGTCTCTGCGTGTCCCCCACAAGGCTGTCCCTGAAACGAGCAGGTGCTCACTCAGTACGAGGCCTCTGAACAGGCAGGTGTGTGTGAGTGAACAGGCCATTGAATTGATGGGCAGCTTGTAAGGGGCGGTAGTGCCATCAGACTCAAAGGTGAATCAGGGGCCACGGGGGGCGCTGCCCCAAACACCCTCACCCCATGACACAGAGACTCGGGCTGGCCGCCACAGAAAAGGGAAGTCCTACAACAGGCCCCACATGACAGGTGCCGTTGGAAGAAGGAGGTATAAACAGAGGGCTGTGAGGAAGGCAGGCAGACACCCCTGGAGAGCCTTAGGTGTGACCATTAGTACCCTGCATGGCCGATCTCTGAGTAAGGACCAAAGGCAAAGGCGTCCAGCAGGCGCCGTCCAGGGGCCGAGGGTGCTCGGCAGACCTCACGGGTAGACGAGGTCCCCTGCATTCCGGGAAGTTTCTGAAAAAACAGCCATCCTCAGCGGGACCCGTCAGCACACACACGTTTGGGCGCATAACTACAGCCCTTCAGCGGCAGATGTGTCCTTGGCGACCGTCCTGAGATGCGATGCCATGTCCCTCCCTGGCCAGCTCCACTGCAAGGCAGCCAACACTGCCCAGAAGAAATCGTGGCTGTAAAATGCTGGCTCATCGTCCTGTTTTCCTAAATCTCAAATGTCCCGGCTTTTGTTAGCAAGCTTAAGAGACCAAAAAAGTGTTTTCATTGGTTTCAGTGTTGTCGATTTTAAAATCTGCCCTGTAAATATTGAAAGCCAGCACCTGGAGTTGCCCTTCAAGGAGCATTTATGATGCCTGAACAGCTGTTTCCCAGCCAAAGAAAGGAAGAAAAACGAGGAGGAGGGCTTGGAGGGGCTCGCTGGGAAGGGACAAGCATGGCAGAACATGACGACAGAAGCCCCCTCAGAGCCCCAGGGGGCTGCAGGAGGATCCAGCTAGGAGGGTCTCATGTTTTGCTTCCCAGGTGTGATCTGCAGGCTCACAGATGAACTCTGGACCCACCTGGCCCTGTCTACACGGGCAGCCGTGGTGAGGGCCTCGGACGGCAGAGACCAACTCGCTCCTACGCCCTCCTACCCGGCCCTCCCAGACCCGCCCAGGCTTAGGAAGAAGCAGAGAATTCACTGGCATCAGGAAGACTCACTGCAATTCCAGAACCCAAAGACGCCCAAGCCCTCCTGAGCACAGCTCTGAAACAGTGGGGTCCAGTGGGGCCCAAGGTCGACATGTGGGCCTGGATTCGGGGAAGGCAGGTCAGCTGCTGGGACTGGGGGCACCACGAGGGGAAGGGCAGGTGCAGAGGGAGAGCTTGCATTGACCCAGTTTGTGCCCCGAGTGGCTGCATCCAAAACCCAACTGGCCAAGTCATATTAACTTTGTAAGATTAGCTGCGGGGCTATCAGCGGGGAAACGGAATAAAAAATTTTAGACAGCTATATTTCCGCAAGTCCGTCTCGACAATTACGATGTACGTGTTTCACCTGCTGCCTCCCTACAAAGTTGAAAAGAAACGCATCGACATAGAAGCCGTGGCTATCACTGGAAGGTAGGAGAAATAATCATTTCAACTTCAATTTTCATAAATCATTCTTGCACAGTCCCTTTTACTGAGCCCCTCCACGTGCCAGCCCCCGTGCTCCTGGAACTTCCCGCTCATGAGGAGGGACCACACAGGAGCAGCAAAGCTGGGCCCCAAGAACCCTGCAGACGTCTGTCCTGCAGCGGGGACCGTCAGCTCAACCCAGCACCGGAAGTCTCTCCAGCCTCAGTCAGGCCCAAGAGAAGTCAACGTGCCGTCAAGGCACGCTCTCCAGAAATAAACAGTCACACATAGTACACATTTGCTGCTGGTACCCAAAGGGAACAACGAAGGGGCAACCCCAACCTGAGCGCACATGCCTGACGCATGGGGCGGGGGGAGACGGTGGGCAGGGAGCCGTCTCCCAGTGTAGCTTGTCTTAGAGTCTGCACTGAGGGACGAAGCCATGCAAATATCTTATGTACTTAAAGAGAAAAATCAAATTGAAAACAGCAATGCCAAAAAATCAAAACCAAAATGAAATAAACCTAACTGTGACCACATTGGTAACATGACCACACAGAGAAGAATTGTTCCAAGCGACGTGAAAACACGTATCTTGACTGTCTATGTAGGGGGATGTCTTTGGGATCCAAAGACAAAACAATCCAAGAAACAACTAGAGGAATCTTAAATTGCATTCGGTGGTCTGACTGTGTATAATGTTGGCAATGTTATTTTGAACTGACTGTACAT